TTTTGGAAAAAGCGCGAAGTAAGTTGAAAATAAGTCTGTTTGGAAATGATAGTCCATTACATAAGCTTTATTTTGATTCATTCATTACGCGTTTATTTTGAAAACTGGTCGAGTTACGTATATGCAGATTATTTCTAAATTTGTGCCATTTTTTTTGAACACCACTGTATATACCCCTGCAGATTGTCCATGTAAATAACTGCCATCATTTGTCAAGAATTTGGATATATGCGGATAGTCTGTCAAGAAAACTGTCCATATCCGTTCAACAAATGTTCATTGTTTGTGCGCTTGATTTTGTATTGCGCTATTTCGACAACCGTGTCACTTGGATTTCGATACTGCTTGTTTCGGAGAATATGTCGCACTTAGGTCTCGATTCTGACAATTGCTACACGATATTTGGAAAATAATACACGAGAACAACATTACATACCTGAGTGAACTATTCCAATAGTTTGTAATTTTGAGTATGTCGTGTTGTTCCAATTCACCTTCTTAATGAGTTTCAATAGCATATCTTTTAAAGCCTTTGGTGTTTTCATACACATCTTGCTGACTTTGCCAATGCCATATTCATTATGGTCACCATTACCAGTTGACCTCAAAATCCAGTCATTGCGACAGCCCATGTTACGTTTGTTTGTTGTCAGTCTCCCTTTATTCTTCCTGAGAGCCGTTGCGAGGTTACGCTTTCCCCTCTATATAACATGAAAAGAGAAAGATGTTTGTATGGGGGGCTTCATTATTATACAATAAGAACATTAGAATTTATTACCGAACTACAGAAGTCCCCTTGATAATGAGGGAATGTTAATGGCATGCTAACAAAGTAGTCTCAGATTTCGCTTTCCCTCTTGCTGTACACACACACACACATATATATATATATATGTATTACTTATAGAATCTTCTTTTGCTCGTCTTTCAAAAACGGTTGCTGTAATAAACAAAGTGGTAACAATTAAAAAGTTGCTTATGAATAGAACTCTTCAGAGTTTTGTTTTCATTCAGTTCCCCAAAAGCTAAATGAGAATCCGTTGAAACGCTCTCAAATGACGCTTTACTAATATTAATATGTATATATTTACTTAGGGAACTTTCTTTCCTTCATCTCTCAAAAACGGCTGCTGTTATAAACAAAATGGTAATAATTAACATAGTTGTTTATGAATAGAACTCGTCAGAGTTTTGTTTTCGCTCGGTTATCTCAAAAAACTGAACGAGAATCTGTTAAAACACTCTTAAACGACGCTTTGCATGAGCGTTTGCTGCTTGACACGAAAAATACTTACGTGACTGTTTCAAGTGCAAAGAACAAGTTGCTCATTGCGGGGCACGTAATCGTCATTTGAATGCCGACGATTGATGTCACACAAACATTTGATTATAGGACAATTCCAAGCTTGATCTACAATTGGGTGCCAAACGTGGCAATTAAACCAGGCTTCAAGATTTGGTTGTTTACTTACGTAATGCTATCGTTCTCAATCTCCCTAACCCTGTAGTAATCCAGTGATAGCGAGGCCAAAGAACATGATTGACAAATGGCTCTCTGTGTGGGAAGTTCATACTGTATGTCACTCAAAACTTACATTGCATAGAGAGCAAATCGGATGTAATCCAGCTCATCTGGAAGATCAGGATCGCAACTGGAGTCGAATATGATGCTGCACATGTCTTTCGTACTTGTCTGCAAAAAGGAAAACAGTATAAACATCACACATACTGTACATATTAACAAAATAACTATAACCTACTTTGTACGCGATGGGCTATTCCTGAGGGTTCTTCTCAGCATCGCTTCATGATGGGCTTGTGTTATACTAGTCGTAATTGTATTAGTCGTTACGTGTTAACAGTCGAATATCCGTCAGAGGAATTCCCATTCACTCAACGTGGGTCGTACCCGGGCGAGACGTTATCCATACTCAGAGGTTGGTGACGATGACAATGTATGTAGAGGTTGAGTTACTTCTTCGATATGTTAAGTGAGATAAACTCCAGCGAATGATAAATCGTTTTGTTGTATCCAACCGTAGGCCGAGGACCGTAATATGTCTTCTTTATACACACTAGAGATAATGATAAACACTAACTCTCTTTCACTTAACATCATCGGTATTAGCCTTCTTCATGTTGGTTAAGAAAATTATTAAATGTTCGCCACAAAGGAACACATAGAAACCACTACGTTACGAGCCGACGGAAAGACTCGCCTTGTTTTGATACAAGTAATAATATTAACGCAACATCTTTAACTCTTGTTTGATCTCAGCGAATAGTTTCGCCCCGTTGTACCGAATACAAGTTGTCTTCAGCAAACGTATCGCTTCGTTATAATTTACACAAATCTTCCTAGCGAATACGTCGCTCCGTTGTATAAACATGATCCGTTTAACGAATAAACTTTAAACCGATTTTATTCTTTATGTACTATCGTTACGAGAGCTTTTTAAATAACTTGTAAATTTGCATTTATTATCCTTTTATTCGAACGAATCAGTTTCAATAATAGATCGCTTGCAACAAGCTAACAAAGTTTTATGACAAAAGTCTAACGATGTTTCGTTATGCATTAAATCCATATATCGATGTCGATCGTCGATTTTCAGGGACGTTTATGCAGGGTAAATCATGTTTATTTACAATTAGGGACGAGAGTTAGAAACTCATTTACAGCTCTGATAATATTTACAGCTGTGAGGAAAGGTCGTTTTTATAACTAATTTCTAACTACCGTAGTATTTTATATCCAATAAAATATAAATAATAAATCGGACTTAGCGTAATACAGAGACACCTCTATAAGTGCACCCTCCATAAGTGCACACCTCCATGTTCTGCGATTTTGAGTCCCAGATATAATTGTATAACCTCCTAAGTGCACGCACGTGACATTTAAAAAAGGTCAGCCAATTAATCGCCGTGATTTCAATGCAATAGTTTACAAAACTATAAATACATTGATACAAGATATTTACTAAAATAGTAAAAATTTTAATCACATTTTCCAAATTAAGAAAATGACATAAACGCCACAAGAATACAATAAATAATTGTCGTAAATAGTTGTTCGACATTCCTTATTTATGAAGTTCCGATAACTTGTATATCTCTTTAAGGATACTGATCAAGCAATTACGGATGTAGACGACATAGATGATAGTGAGGAAAGTCCTGTTATTAGCGCTAGCACAGCAATCGCTAGCTTGGAAATAGTACGTGCCTTTCTTTTACAACAGGACAATGCGGAAAAATATATACCTCTTTACAAAATATTGAGGAGTTTGTTGAAATCAGGAAAACAAGCTCAATGCGTCAAACTAGCATTGACACATATTTTTCTTAAAGTGTAGTATGACTTCGATGTGATAGTATAATTTTGGTAAAGAGAAAGTACTAGTCTTTATTATGTGTAACAGTTTTCTGGTTTTCTATTCGTTAAGTGCACACCCTCCCGAGAATAGAGGTGTCTCTGTCTACTAAATAAATCGAACACAGTGGATAACGATCATTTTGCCGTTCACATCCTTGAACTTATTCAGATATTCAATTACTTCTTGAGAAAGACTGGGCACATGTGGGCCATGTAGGTCATCTATTTCTTGCAGTTCAGCTTTTATGAAATGCTGTTTAATCAACTCGTCATCCACATCGAGGAGTGTACTGCACTAATGTATATCAATTGTATACACTATAATTCATATTACATGAGTAATGCTTTGTTCATTGAATAAAAACATACTGTTCAAACTCCAGTCTATTTCCAAGATTGAAGAGTTCTTCCTCCACAAATTTTCCGCTTGAGAGCTGCCACATGTAATCCTTCCTCAGTTGATTTCCATCCGATCAGAGTCCATCAACTTGAAAGGACCTGAATACATATCGCGTTGATTGTTTTTTGAGTCACCATCTAAACTATTATGATGAACACATTATATCCAAAAGACATACCTTTTTCTCCTTTCTCCTTTTTCTCCTTTCTCCTTTTTCTCAATCGGCCTCTTATTCACAACATCATCTCCATCGTCCAATTTACCACATGCTTCGTTAAAAGAACTGCTAGCAAGAGCATCAACATCCGAATCGTCACTAGAATCCGCCCCGGTGTTCTATAGTCCCTTCGTTTATAGTCACTATCTGCTTATAGTCACAAATAATTCGTGCCAACACCATTTCATATGAAAATCACATTGCCTATACAGTGGGACCTCCCTAAGTGCAAGCCGATGGGACCGGGCTTCTAGCGGGAAGGTGTGCATTTATATTTAGGGAATATCCAATCACGTTACGATATGAAGATAGCCAATAATATTGCTCATATGAGCTTATGCTATACTGTAATCGCCACTGTTTTCATATTTATTATTATTGTCTTTAATCATAAATCAGTGTCCGAGCAATCAAGGAGATAGTTGCCCATCGTCTGATATAACTACTATATTTAGTATTACTATACTAATGTATAAAAAGGGAAAGAAAGTAATGAAATATCGATCTACAATATGATTGCTTTATCCGCTTGGCAAGGTCAACATTACTAGCACTTGAATTTGTATTTTTGTATGTAATTAATACTACTTTCTGTTTATTATTAAGAGTTGTTCTGCTAGCCATGTCAGGATATTGCGGATATCAGATTGAAACACGAAAATTTTTATTATAAAAGATCTAATCACATGATGTGCATTTAGGGGGTTGAACCACAATGGAAATATAATAGATGTCCGTGCAATTGCAGAATAAAGAACGTGCAACAAATCAATAGGTCCCCTCATGGGACTCAGTGTTAACTGTGCACTTAGGGAAGTCCCACTGTAGTCACAATCTCTAATAAAATCTCCTTATAGTCCCTATCACCAAAACCTCGGTTTTAATTTGTAAAACGCGCTTCTAAAGTTTAAATTCAATTGTCAATTGCTCCTACAATTTCAAAAAAGCCCCCCCCCCAAAAATAATGCTAGCAAGCGCACAGCAATCTCTCTGGAGACAAAAAAGGCACTGTCTGTACAAACGGAATCATCCTAATTGTTCGGCAAAAAATTTGATGGAAACGTTTAACCTCAACATTGACCACTCAACAATTACTAAAATAGAGCTGAATCAGAACGATGGATTAAAAGGATATTTCTGGCGAAGCTGGACAGCTAATGAAAGAGAGAAAAGAATCATTAGGTAACCAGTGCAATTGTTGCCAATAATATTATCAACGGCAAAATTTTATAGATAACTAGTTGACAATAACTTTTTCAAATAACATTATATTCTGAATATTATACTTATCTTCATAAATATTTTCTTGTTCTCTGAATTACAAAAATGAATAAAAGAGAAGATATTAAGGGAAACGGAAAACAATAAATGAATAATCACGTGCCATTGTCTATAATCCCCTCAGTCTATAATCACCAAAAATGGGCTGCCAAAAGGTGTGACTATAGGCAGTAGTTCACTGTGATTCGTTGTTTCTAGACGGTTCACCATAAATAAGTATTGATAACGGCTTCTACCACAAATTTTAAGATGCATAACATATTTATACCGACCCTCTTTTCTTGTAGGATACTTTGAGTAGCCGTTTTTTCCTCTTGAATGCGGAGGCTATCCCAATAACGTTGAATAGAGGCCGTCTTAATATGCTCGTCAAAGGTATGCAGTAGACGTCCAGCTATCTCTGACAGTTCTGTTTCTTCAGATTCAATATCTTTCAATGTATTGAACAAAGTTTCCTCTGCCTTGTTCCTTTCGAGGGAAGTAAATTCTGCACTTTTATAAAATTTGACGGCACTAAAATCTGATAAGAAATCTTTTCAACAATTCGATATAAGCCTGCAGATTAATGATAGGAACGCGACGAAGGAATGTAAACATCGCAAACTAATTCCTATCGGCAAATAATTTATAGATGAAAGCATATACAAACCATGGTGGGAAAACCCTAGGCGACCAGAAAATCAACTGATAAAAATGCATTTCCGCAAATAGTCTCTCTAAATAACATTGTCGTCACGCTCGCAAACGAAACTATAAAGAGCTGGAGAGCCAATACATTACGCGACGTCACGGACTGATCGGGACTTGGGGGGAGCATACTTATAAATTTGTGTTGCACAAAGTCGAACGTAAATCTTTATTTTTTACTCACTCGTTCTAAAAACATGAATTTACTCCTTGTAAATAATTTTATTTTATTTCATAATAATGTACCGATTACTGTTACGAGTCTGTCCGTTATATCGACGAGCCTTTTTATTATTTGCGTTTATAATATCAAATAAGTTTGGACCTGTCTCAGTTCGGAACCCAATAACTTAGTTGTCTCGGTCCAGAACTGAGACAGGTCCCCAGCTGAGGAACAGTAGCCAAAAATGGGAGATCGATCGAATAATATTAATATTAAGCTGAATTAGTCCGAATTCGTTATATCACCGTTTAATATAACAGACACAGAACATGTCTTTTTTTTTTTTTTAATCGTCCTCGAGTAAGCCTCGATTCTCTATCGGTGAGATTATTTCCGATAGGCAATCAGTTTCGGGGTATGATTTAAAATGTAAACGCGTTTATCGTAAACAATTACAGTCAAACCTCGTTATACCGATGCCGATAATCTACATATAACGATAGAAATTCCGCTCAATAAATTATAATAAACCCTGTTATACCTTCTATATCGATACACACAATAGTGAGCTATTATCTAGTAAATCGTTCTCTCTTTAACGAGGAAGACAAAAATTGAAGACTTTCTTTCCAACCCGCTTGCTGAGTTTGCTTGTCATAGAAGCATCCTTTTTAAAATTTGGAGCTTAAGCTCACTCTATTTCAAAAAAGAAAGAAAAAAAAGAGCAAACCGTCCATTGTACATTGATAGCTTTATAGTTGAAAATTTCATTTAACACCCCGATAAATCGATATTTGCATGTCACTCATAATGTTTATGTCAGAGTAAATCATGTGAATGATAAATATAAAGGACAAAAAAAATAACGAACACACCGAAACTTAGCGGAAATTCATGTTGCTTATATATCTTTCGAAATCACTGATTGTCCTATTTTTAGCAGATCTTATTAAGCATCTGTTCTTCTAATTTGGCGAATTCCTAATCCTTATTCTCAACTTGCTGCTCGTACTGATGCTTTCGCCTCTGCTGCTACACCTCCCTGCCAAAAGTATTTGACACTCTGTGATCGGCAAATAAAATTGTGTCCCGTAGCCTACATTTAAATCGTCATACATCTAACTTAACTTCAAGCTCTTTTTTTTCTCAAACAGACAAAGACAGTAGCTTTCAAAAATTATAAAGTCACTTTTTAACTTTACTTACTCATTTTTATAAAAAATGCCCAAGTCTCGTGAACTTACTGTTTTTGAGTGTGGAATGATAATTGGGCTTCACAAGGGCAAGCACAACGCTACAGACATTCAAACAATACTCGGAATAAACAGAACTACTTGCATTGCTATCATTAACAAATTTGAAAATTATGGGCTCACTGAACCTCTTCCTCGTTCAGGAAGACCACCCCTTTTAACTGAGCGTGAAGAGCGAACTCTTGTGCGAGTAACCAAAGATAATAGGAAAGAATTGCTCGAAGAGATTACTGAGCTGTTCAACAGCCTAGGCCTTACCCAGATTAGTACTCGTACTGCTGGACGTGTACTTCATAATCATAACTTTTTTGGCCGTATTGGGAAGAGAAACCCCTTTGTTTCCGAAAACAACAGAATAAAACGCTTAAAATGGTGTCGTGAACGTAGAGGTTGGGATAAACAATGGGATACAATCATTTGGAGTGATGAATCCCGGTTTCTTTTATTTGAAAATGATGGTCAGCAATAGGTTTGGCGTAGGCCACATGAGAAATATGATGTAGACTGTCTAGTGCCTACTGTAAGAGTAATGGTGTAGGGGTAAAAATAGACTTGGTCCATTGGTAGTGTTATTACAGGCCAAGTCTATAAAAAACTTTTAGAAGATCATTTAGTCCCTTTTATTGAAAGCCTAGATGATGAAAAAACTTATGTCTTTTCAAGATGATAATGCTCCTGTTCATAGGGCTAACTTGGTACTTGCCTGGAAAGACGAAAATTTGATATCTTCTCTTCCATGACCTGCTCAGAGCCCAGATCTCAATCCAATTGAGCATTTGTGGTATCATCTTGGAAGAAAATTGCATGAACACAAACCCATACCAAGGAATAAGAGAGAATTAGCTTCAGTTTTGGAGGAGTGGGTGAAAATTGAGGAAAGTGTTTTAGAAAATTTAGTAAATAGCATACGTCGAAGAGTTAAAGCTGTAATTGATGGTGGAGGAAACCCCACAATTTATTAGTACTATAAATAAAAAGTTCATAACAAGAGCATTTCAAAAATATAAATTTTATTAAAAGTTGTTAAGACAGTTATCGAGAAAACTTGATTTGAATGTTTGATAAATTTTTCGAAATAATGTAGATCATCAAAAGTGTCAAATACTTTTGGCAGGGGAGTGTACATAACTCTGAATGAGCTTTAGAGACTGTTACGGCAAGCCGATCTGATGAATCAGATAAGTGAGTCACGTGGTAAAATCTTCCTCATCAACAAATAATTTTGGTATAGTTAACTTAAAATCTATTACTATTGGTCCTTGAAAATGTCGATTACTGATTCCTTTTGTTGCAATCTTTGGTAATCGCGGGTTATATAAGAGGCCCTTACCCCATCGTCAAATTCTGATGTTGTATATGTTATATGTTCTTAATGTTTATGTTTTTAATGTTGTAAATATTGTTCATATTATAAAATGTTGTTCAGGCTATTAGAACAATAATTTCCACTCCATGGAATAATAATAAACGATTCCCTTTGAAATCGAAATTTTACTTTCTTTCATCGTTGCAATATTAATTA